GGACAAAGATCAGCAGAGAAGCGTGATGTATCAAAACTTTCCGTTCATTCTTTTTTATTTCCTAGTTATCCTTGTTTGAAAGAATATGTAATGGTGTCTTTTGGCTTCATCGCACTGGTTATGAGAAAATAATTTGCCCGGATGGACATGCAATCGCTGAAAAAATCCTAATTTCCCCGGAATAAACGCGGACGTTTTATTCCGCAATTATTACGTCCGGCCGGAAGTTTCCCGCGAAAGATTCAACTCTTCGCGCCACTTCGCGCCACATCCCACGATCCACCCATCGATCCACATCCCACGTTCCTTGTTGAAATCATTTCCAGCGGCCTGCACAAGCTGGCAGCAGTGAACACTCCGTTCTGCAGAAATAATTATTTTTTTTCTGAGAAATATTTTATTTCCTGAGAAATATATTTCTTTCGGAGAAATAATTTTTTTTCAGAGACATATTTTTTTCTCTCGAGATTTTTTTTTTTTTGTCAGGAGCGGTGAAAATATTTCTACGGCGAATTTTTTTTCTGAGATAAAAAAAATATATCTCCAAAGTAAAAAAAAAAAATTCGAAGTAGCAGGAATATTTCTACGGGTGAAAAATAATTTCTACATATATTTTTTTTTCTTGAGAAATATTTTTTTTTCTTTCGATAAATATATTTTTATTTCTCAGGGTTACGGAAATGACGCCATACATATTTATTCACAAAAATGCGAATTGTATCATATTTTCATAGGTTCTAGCCACCGGCAATAGCGGTTTGGTGTCGCACAGCAGGGGTTTCGGGCGATCCGGCACCATTTTCATCGCGGAAAACCGTGCATACACTGACGTTTTTGATGATGCTTGTCCTTCAGAAGCACCCCTTAAAAAGGTTAACAGAGAATGTCGTGTTTCTATTGAGTAAAGGAGAAAAATTTGAGCGCTATGTGTTGTTACTGAAATTGACCCATCTTCAAAAACGACGGACTCGCTAAACATCCCCTTAGCAATTCTCGCCAAAATGAAAGAAAATGTGCTGCGACGTTGAAAGGCCTAGTGACTCTTCATGGCTTCTAGTTACACCTCCTAGCGATGAAACCCGAATATATTTCACTGTTGCCAAGTTACAGCAAAATTCCGGTTTTTTTGGGTCCCTCCTCATACAAAGCGGAAACCCTCGTACTTTCATTGCGCACTCCTCATCTACGTGTAAGCTGTAATCCTACATATTCTTTGTATCTAATTTCCAGGCTAAGTTGACATCTCCGTCATCCTTCATTGTATTTAATGTTCTTTTAATGTTTCATATTTTTCGTTCTTACTGTCATTCCTCTGCATGCTGAGCAGGACACACATAAATAATACCAAAAAATAAATTTAGGAACCCGCTCAGAAAACTTGTGGTCAAGGGAATGACCTAGAAATGATCAAACTTCAAACGATATCATAAAACGAGGAAATAATTACTTATGTCGATCTCCTAGAGTGGGCAATTGACTCCTTCCGACCACACAATCTATTTCCTCCTGGGCCCTGACTTGCACCTCCGGATGGTGTAACATATACAATAAGCCGAAAGCCATTATACTGTCTGTTGTTTCTGATCCTACCATGAACAAATCCATGCAGATCGCGAGAAGCTGGGATTCTGAGTCAAAAAGTCAAGAAGAAGATAGAAGGGAGGATTAGTGAAGTTAATTAGAATATAAGAAGAAATGACAAAAGATAAATCGAAAATAAATTTAAGAAAACAAAAGAAAATGTACCGTGAGGGAATAGAATGTGAAAACACAAAAACTCTCAATGCGTGATTCTGGCTCGAGGCTCAACTTTTCGGTAAGTCAATGAATATTTTGTCCTGAAAATTAACTTTCCTCGTTTAAGGTAATGTGATGAAGTATGATTTCTGAACTGTGCGAAAATTAACACAAAATCTGAGAAAGAATAGGCCAATATTATAACAAGGAAAGTTCGGTAGATAAACAAGTAATAAAAAAGTCTGGCGAAAAATGAGAAACGTTTTGTTCATATGTATCGTAGGTTTCGCCACGCAGCGTATAGAATCCTAATGGAAACGGAGGAGGGGTTTGACCTGCCTTGCTGAGGAAAAACGCCGTATGAGCCTTCAGATGTCGCCAAATTGCCTTCGATAAAAACTTAAATTATTGGGAAAGAGGGTTAAGCCGGCTCCAGACTACGCGGCATTCGCCGAATATTACTCGCCGAATACCGAATATTTGGCAAGTCCCGCGTAGTCTGGATGGAACATTCGCGTCTACTTGGCTCGTGCTGACGCGAGGCGAGTCACTCGGCTCGGCATTCGCCCCAACCCGCTAAAAGTCGGTTTCATGGGTGGCGGTAGCCACCTCCGGACAAAGTCTAAACTCGACAACACTGGAAAGCCTCCAAACGAAAAAAGGTGGCAGCCAACCATAGACACACGTAACTCCCTTATTCTGAAAATTGATTCGGTTGGAACTCGACTGCAGCCCAAACGACGGCACGGATTCCTACGATCTTGGTGTCTACGGACGCATCTCAATTAGGACTACAAAGTGGAAGAGTTTCATTAAGATCCATTGAGTTTTCAAAAAGTTATAAGCACTTAAAGGCCCAAAATGACAAATATTTTTTGTAACATGGGCCGTTCAGTAGCGGGAAACCGACATGATCACCTTTCACAACAGATTTCTTGCTTACGCGGCCACAGATTCTAATGAAACCTACAAAGGATCATGCTTGAAGATATGAGGATTTCATTTCTACCACATTTAATAGGGTTTCAATGCTCGGATAATTCAGCATCGGCAAATAACTTTCAAAATTTTAGCTACAATATTTTGAATTTTAGAAAAATCCGGTATAGTGGTTCAATGCCATTGGTCGATTCCGTTCAGTT